TTCTTGGTGAGCGGTCAGCTGAAAACAGGAAAGATAAGAAATACAGAGAAAGATCATGCAGGGTGCCAGGAGGGCTCGCTCTCAAGGCCATTTCCAGATACGAGATCTGCCTAAGGCATCAGGTCCTATCTTGACCACTGATTGCCAGGGGACCACCTGGGGCTTCGCTCCAGGAAGCTCTAACCCCAATCCTTCAGCAGGCGAAAGCCAATGCAGAGGCATTTTGTCACTACACGGCAGTCACTGCTGTGGACGTGGCAATGAATGGGTTGTGAGCCACCATGTAGCTGCTGGGAATCCCACCCTGGTCCTCTATAAGAGCAGCAAGTTCTTAAGTGCTGAGCCATCTCTCTAGCTCCTGGTATTTTTTTTTATTATGTGCATGTGTTTATATGTGGGCATGTTCACATGAGTGCAGGTGTCTTCAGAGGCACTTGGGAGACAGAGGCAGGTGGATCTTTATGATGTACATAAAGAGTTCTAGACTAGCTAAGGCTATGAAGTAAGATACATACTGGGATCCTGCCCTCTCTGTCCCAGGCCCAGAGTCAAGTATCCACATGGAAGCCTTGTTCCTCCAGGGTCTCCTTTCTACCTCTAGACATAAGTCCTTAGCATCCCCTGTCCCAGAAATATCCTTGCTAGCTGACATTTCTTCCGTCTCATGGCCTGCACTAGCCTGTCTTAACCGGTTCTCCAGGAGCTTCCAACCCCACCGTTCAGATGTCAGTGGTGAACCTTTCTCTCTTATTGGGAAGAAGGATAGAACCTTACAGGGTCCACTCCCTAACCCTGTCTGAAGCTAGGAGGAGAGGTGGTTCCAGCCCCAGGATGGGGTGGGGGCAGATCGATCGCAGGGTGCCAGGGGAGGGGGGGCAAGTCAGAACATTTCAAAGTTTGTGTTACTTGGAGGAAGGTAGGAAGGAGGTGCTGCCATCCAAGGCATGTTCCTGCTTGTCCTTCCCAACCTGTCCTGGCTTTTGTTCCTGGGAGTGTGGCCAAGAGCTTTAGTAGCCTGCTAGGGGACAAGAGTACTCAGGTAGAGGCTGCTCCCTGGCAGGCAGAGACTCCCTTCAAATTACTAAATAAACAGTGTCAGGTGACCTCAGCATGGCCCACAAGGAAGCAACAGATCTTTGCCCACTCCTGACTTCAATCTAGCCTCCCAGGAGTAGCACCCATCTCTCAACCTGCAAGAAAAAAACTTCTGAGGAGGGTCACCAGATTGAAGCTAGCCTAGAAATAATAGGGAAAACCCTCAGGCTCCTGCCCCAGTTCCCTCTGGAGGTAATTGGGAGCCAAGGCCCTTCAGAAGGCTAAGAGGTATCTGAGTCCCCCTAGTCGGGTGGTGACGTGGGACAGGTAGGGTGAACCAGCAGGAGGCCTCAGGGTGGATGCTCTTCCCAGATGGATTCCAGCAGGCTGGAGCAGGAACTGCAGTGGATGGAGCTGATTTGGGAGGCGGCTCCAGCAGACAAGACAGAGAAACCTCTTACCTCCCAAGCCTGGGGTACTCTGTTCCAGGCAGTGTGGCGGGGTGCTCCCAGCCTGGTGATACAGCTGCTGAGGCAAGGTGCCAGTGTGGAGGAGAGGTAAGCCGCATGAGTAGCTCCAGACTTTCTCTGACTGGGGCTGACCGGGTAGGAAGCACCCTCACGTATTTCACACCCCACAGGGATCACGCAGGTCGGACTCCACTCCATCTGGCTGTGATGCGAGGCCACGTGCCCCTTGTACGCCTACTGTTGCAGCGTGGGTCCCTGGCAGGCGCAGATGATCACACAGGGCGCACACCGTTGCACGAGGCTGCTTGGCACGGACACTCAAAGGTGGCGGAACTATTGCTGCAGCGTGGGGCCTCAGTGGTGGCATGCTCTCAAACGGGTCTCACGCCCCTCCACTGGGCAGCTGCGCTGGGCCGCACGCTACTGGTTACAAGCCTTCTGGCCGCACCAGGTTCAGACCCTGCCGTGAAGGACTTAAGAGGTTGGACCGCCGCACACTGGGCAGCGGCATGCGGGCGACTGCCTATACTAGAACTGTTGACTGTTGGAGGTAGTGTAGACCTGGATAGCGCCCTGCTGGTGTCAGCGGTAGCTGGAAGTGCATCAACCCTGCGGCTTCTCCTGGCACTGGGGGCAAAGGTGGATGCCCTGGACAGCACGGGAGTCACCGCGCTTGGCCTGGCAGCTGGCCTAGGCCGCCACCAAGTAGGTCCAGCTTTCACCTGCAGTGACTGTGCCGGAAGCCCAAGGGCTTGGTTCTCTACACTTACTCCCACAAGCTCTGAGGGAGGAGAAGAACAAGGCAGAAAGATGCTGAAGCACTGGTGGGCAGGGTGGAGGGGTTGGGAGGTTAGCAGGCTCCCAGTTGGACACTCCTTATAAAACTTCCCTACCAAATGGTACCTGCCAATCCCACTTTGTTCTGGTGGCCCATAGCAATGAATTGGGTGAATACTTAAGTTTTCCTGAAACAGCAATTTGCTATGTCTCCTTAGCTGCCCTGAAGCTCTCTATGTAGACCGACTTGATCTTGCACTCACATAGATCCTCCAGCCTCTGACTCTTGGGATTAGTGTGGGCCACCATGCCTGGCAACAATCATTTATTTAAGTATTTGGCTGAAGCTCAAGAGCAGTGGGGCGCAGGGAGCACCAGGGGTAAACAGCCTTTGCACAGCGTTGAATTTGATCCAAGAATCTGAGGCTGCCTCAGATTTCATCCATTCATTCCTAAAAGAAAAAAGAGGCTGTAGGGATTTGGGCCAGGCAAACCAGGCCCTCTGAACCAGGGCAATGGGCTCTTTCTCTCTTCTTCCTTTCCTTTTCCAGGATGTGGCGGTTCTGCTGGATCATGGGGCAGACCCACGTATCACGGACAGGAACAACTGCTCCGCACTCCACAGGGCTGCCGCTGGCGGACACCTACCTGTTATACAGCTGCTGGTGGCCAAGGGCATCGAGGTGGATTCTCAGGACTCGCTGGGTCTCACGCCCCTGCACTACGCTGCCCGGAGAGGCCACGTAGAAGTTGTCAGCCATCTCCTGGACAGGGGTGCCCAGGTCAACGCTGCCGGCTGGCTCCGCAAGACCCCTCTGCACCTTGCTGTGGAGTGTGACCACAGAACAACCATAGAGCTTTTGCTAAGCCGAGGAGCCAACTCTACCTTGAGGACACAGTGGGGTGAAATGGAAATGGCCCAGACCCTTTAGGGTGCCTGCCCCAGGCACTGCCTGATTTCCTTTACTAAACAAACTTCTTAAAAACTACAGAAAGGCCTGGCGGTGGTGGCACATGCCTTTAATCCCAGCAGACAGAGGCAGGCGGATCTCTGGGAGTTTGAGAGGCCAGCCTGGTCTACAAGAGCTAGTTCCGGGACAGGCACCAAAGCTACAGAGAAACCCTGTCTCGAAAAACCAAAAAAAAAAAAAAAAAAAAAAA